GGATCCGAAAACCCATGGGAGCCTGGGTCCCTGTGAGAGGGTTTAGGGTGGTTTAGGGTTTAGGGGTTTAGGGGTTTGGGGTTTAGGGGTTTAGGGGTTTAGGGGTTTAGGGGTTTAGGGTTTAGGGTTTAGGGGCTTGCGGCTTGAGCTGTCTCTGACGGGCCTCTGGAGCTTCGGGGGGGGTACGATCCTCATAGAGGACCCTGAATAGTAGGATCCCTATCATAAGGACCCCGGAATAAGATACCCCTGATTTTCGGAATCCCCCATTTTAAGAAAAGGACGCTGGAGCCCTGGGGCCAAGGCAAGTGGTAGGCACAGCGTGCCACTGCCAGCGCCTTGTCGTTGAGACCCGACTGAAGGCAGCCCCGTAGCATCACCTTGGGGGAGGGTTTAGGGTTAGGGTTTAGGATTTAGGGGTTCTGTTTTCGGCTCGATGAAAGCCGTATGAACTCATCAGGTTTTTCAGGGTTTAGCAAGGATGCTAACTTCTTCTGGCTTTAGCAAGACCTTCATATATGTACGTACATACATACATACATACATACATACATACATGCATGCACATGCACATGCACATGCACATGCACATGCACATGCACATGCACATCCACATCCACATCCACATCCACATCCACATCCACATCCACATCCACATCCACACACACATACACACACACACACAGAGATAGATGTAAGGCCTTCTTCATGTTTCCAGCCGCAACATCGGGCGACCAACCGGGGTTCATTTCCTCGCAAGCAGCCAAGTTGTGGAGCACCAAAACCGTAACCCGGAAACTTCGCCCATCATAGTCTGCTTACGTTCGGAACCTTATTGAAGAACATTACATGGGTAGTTTGCAAAATTAGGGTTCCTTTCAGGGTCCTTTTTATAAGGGTGCCGTACTATATTGGGGACCTAAAAAGGGAGTCTCATTTTATATATATATATATATATATACACACACATACACACACACACACACACGCACCCCAGAAAAGCTTATACAAGCCTTTCAGGCCCCTTCTGCTCGTCGCACCAGTGCTTTCTGCGGGAGCGTGTCTTGCTGCAAGTAGGCTTGCAGCTTTGGCGTTCAGAGTTTTGGGGTTTAGGGTTTAGGGGGTTCAGCGTTTTGGGGTTTACGGTTTAGGTTGTTTCGGGCATAGCTTTTGAGAGGTTTCAACCTTTCTGCCTTCTTGCGAGGCTACCGGAGATGTCTCCGCACCATGTAAATGTGATGGTAACTCAAAAGGTTAGGAGCACTAGATCCCACAGAAAAGCCTGTGGGGCAACGTGGACGGCATGAGGCGGAGCTTGTATCAGAGCTTCGGTAAGGGCGACGCGAGATATTTCATGCAAGGACCCGGTACCTGGATCGTCTTACAATGTCCGATTTAAGGTTTTGTTATTGCAAGGCCTAGGCTGCTCATGATTAGTGATTTGTATTCTCACGGTATTCGTTTTTGTTGTTTTTACTGCTATTATCAACTGCGTCCCTATGGTCACGACAGCCATGTATACTCTGATCGCGGTCCTCTCGATTGCCACAATTTCGCCGTTCTTGTTCTATCATTGCTTGGTCTTTGGAGCTTCCCATGATGCCTTCCAATGCAGCTGCTCTCTGGAAGTACCTGTTTCCAAGGTTGAGGCGACAGTACCAGCAAAGAAGGGCTGCTAAAGACGAGCTGCCCTAAACCCTAAACGAACACCTGCACATAAGAAACGGCGGCAGGTCTGGTGTCGGACAAACTTCGTTCAAGTGCATCGGCCTGGGTGCACAAAGTGCCCTATCATGTCTACATTCTCAAAAAAACGGAGAGTTGCAAGCCCTAGACTCCAAACCCTGCAAGCCCGAAGCCCTCAACCCTCTAAGCCCTACCTTGCAAGCGCCAAGCCCTAAACCCTAAACCCTAAACCATAAACCCTAAACCCTGCAAGTTGGAGGTACGGCTTTCATGACGGCGACCTGCTTTGGACTCTCGGGGCCTTTGCAGTTGGGATTCTGGCCTCCTTTGCCTTAAAGGCAGCCCAGGGACCCGAGCGCGCAACAAAGCCAGGTTTGGGGGTGGGGGGTTTAGGGTTTAGGGTTTAGGGTTTAGGGTTTAGGGTTCGTAGGTTTAGGTTAAGGTAGCAGCAATCGACATCGTAGTATTCGTCGCAGTGTAGCAGTGGCAAGGGGCAGTGGCGGGAGCAGGAGTAGAGGAGTGGGAGCAGAGGGCGCGTAGCAGCGCTGTAGTCACCAGAGTAGTAGCAGCAGTACCATGCCCTCTTCTGCGCAGGCCCTAGTGCAGTGGTACGTCATGGAGGTCGCTTCCTACGGCGGACGAGGAGGAGAGGATGGGGAACCTGACAGTAAGCCTCATGCAGGGGCGGGAATCAAGAAGCCTGAAGCCTAGGTGTCGGTCGCGGGATCGATGGCGAAGGTCGCTTGCACTGTGAAGTTTCGCATAGAGCCCCGTACCCTGACTAAGGCACATGTAGGGTCCTTATAGGATGCATAAAGAGTATACCTTCAACAGCAAGTCATCATATTTAGGTTAGAGGCCTTTAGCTTACTCAGGGTTTGTTTTTGCTGGTTCTCATCTTGGGAAACGGTCGTGCTGAGGTTTCGGAGACAAACCCTTAACCCTAAACCTGGCACCAGGTCCGCCTAAGTTGGATTCTTGTTGCAGATTTCGGGTACCATGCAGCTGCGGCAAGCCTTTTGCACCTTGGACCCTTAGCCTCAAACCTGAAACAACGGTTAAAAAACCCTAAACCCTAAAGCCTTAAGCCTCAGCAAGCCTAAACCATCCCCTCCCTTAGACTCTATAGACCCCGGAATGCTAGATATTAAACTTGAAAATCTCAGCACCGCGCTTGAAGGAACTTTGAAGAAGAAGGAACCCGTAAGAGGGTTTAGGGTTTAGGGTTTAGGGAAAGGCCCTTCACACGAAAGACCCTTGAACAAGAGCGTTTGAATCGCAGCCCTCAAAGGAAAACGGTGATATCCCAGGGCACAAAACTCCAAACCCGACATGTCCTAACCCTAAACCTAATCCCGTAGGAGCGCGATTTTCCGGACGCAAATGGCAGTGACTCGGGCAGTGAAGTCTTCGATTACCTGAAGCACAGGATTTTTAGGTTTCACTACCAGAGAGCCCACCATATCTTGATGAAGAAATAACGCCCTTACCGTATAAGGGTCCATGTACCCAAATAGATATACTTTGGCCTTAAAGTAGTCCCTACATAAGTACTTTGGGGCCAATGTATATGGACTCTCAGGGTTAGCTATACAGGGCTTTTATCTTCCGCGTCTCTTAATCAACGTGTGTTGGTCTCTCTGGGTAAGGGCTTTACAGGGCTTCATTGGCGATTTGATAAGGGTTCGACCGAGTGTGGTAGCATGTCGGACAACCTTTGGGCCACTGCATCTTTCTAGGATGTTCAACGTTGAAAAACGAAGTCTACATCCTCGAACATGTCATTGATGATTCCTCAAGCCCCCTTAGACTGTACCCTCTAAGCCGACACCTTCAGCCCCTAAATCCTACATGGCTCATGCGATGAAAGTTTAGCACATTATTTCGGACTCCCTAGCCCTAGAAATATAGTTCAACCCTGTAGACCCTGTCGAAGAGTCAATTCGTAACATCAACCCTTCTAGAAAGCAGTTTCAGTATCACAACCAGGCAGAACGCGTTTCCGTGAACCCTGAACCCCGAAACCCCTGAACCCTAAACCCTAAACCCCTAAACTCAAAGCCCCAAACCCTAAAACCCTTACACTCCAAACCCTTAACCCTTAAACTCTCTAAGCCCTAAACCCAAAAACCCTAAAGCCCAGTCCAGTCTTTAGGCTCGGGCCGCTGCGTCCCGGGGAGGCCCCGGAAGGAACAGCGCGCGCGGCGCTGTGCCGAAGCCGAAGGAGAAGCTAGGGTTTGGGGTTTCGGGCTTAGGCTTTAGGATTCAGGGTTTAGGGTTTAGGATTCAGGGTTTAGGGTTTAGGGTTTAGGTTTTAGGGTTCAGGCTTTAGGGTTTAGGGCTTAGGGATCCTTTGAAGGCTTCCCAAACCCTAAACCCTACACCCTAAACCTTTTGACGGTTCTTTTGAACTCTAGATGAATTGTAGAAGGATCCTGAGGGATTAAAGGCTTTTCGGGTTCAGGGTTTAGGGTTTTCGGGTTTAGGGGTCCCTGTGAGGCTTACTCTAAGGGCTCCACTCAGGCATCGTCGACGAATTCCACTGCACAGAACGTCTGGATTTCGGGTTTTCCGGTGTTGCGGTTTAGGCACTCTGGTCTACAAGGGTTTTCGGGTTCAGGGCTTCAGGAATCCCATGGGTACTCCCATCTTGGGGAGCCGAGGGGGGGAGTTAGGCGATACCGCACTGAAACACCTAAACCTTAAGCTCTAAACCTTAAACCCCGAACCCTAACCCTACGGTTGATGATCTAAATATCCTGCATGACCCATAATAAGGAATATACCATAGTTCCCATAGTTAAAGGTCCTCAAGGTAATGCAAGATTTTTATAGCATCAACCCTAAACCCTAAACCCGTAAACCCTAATCCTTAGCCTTGAGGTAATGCAGGATGTATACCAGCAACAGTATTCTAGGGACTCCTTGCTAGAACTATAGTATAATCATATACCCCGAAACACTAAACAACACAACTCCCATAATTTTAGGGTCCTGGAGGTCATTGTATAGCATCAACCCTAAACCCCAAACCCTGAACCCCTAAACCCCTAAACCCAAACCCCTAAACCCTAACCCCTAAACCCCTAAACCCTAATCTTTAGCCTTATTCAGGTAATGCGGGATGTATATCCCTAAACCCTAAACCCTAAACACTAACCCCTAACCCCAAACCCTAAACCCTAAACCCTGACCCCTACCCCCGAAACCCTAAACCCTAAACCCTAAACCCGAAACCCTAAACCCTAAACCCCAAACCCTAAACCCTAAACCCTAAACGTCATCAACCCTACGACCCCGAAAACGCGGGGAACCTGGGGAGACTTGCGACGGCGTCGGCCAGCTGTGCCTCTGCGTCCCCAAGGAAACCTGAAATACGTTTGGGGCTTTGGGGTTGGAGGTTTAGGGCTTAGGATTTAGGGGTTTAGGGTTTAGGATTTAGGGTTTCGGGTTGAGGGTAAGGATTCCTTTAAGGATTCCTTTCCCTTACTGTGAAAGGACTCATATTTTAAGCTCTTTGGGCCCAAAGACCCTATTATATAAGGCTTTTGGGCTATTTTGATGCTCAGGGTTTGACCCTTCCTGTAGAGGATCTATAGCTTATAACTTTTTGCTTTAGGGTTTAGGGCTTTAGGGCTTAGGATTTGGCCTGCGAAAGCCTTAGGGTTCAGGGCTTCAGAGCTTTGAATTTTGGGCCGAGGGTTTAGCGCTGGGAAGCTGGCAGGGGTGTGCAGGGCTTTTGAGCTTTCTTGTGACTTTTCTGGTATAGCTTCTGCAAGTACTTTCGATACTGGAGTTGGCAGGGATCTAGGAAGCAGCTTGCGGATTTAGTGCCCCTTAGAAAGTAGCTTACGGATTTAGTGTCGCTTTGATCTCTTGACGGTTTCCCTGAGGGTTCATGTACCCAAATAGGATCCACTTTGGCCCCAAAGTACCTATATAGGGACTACTTTGAGGCCAAAGTATATACTATTTGGGTACATGGACCCGTAGGGTTGTGCTTTATCTGAAAAGTTCAAGTCTGTCTCGGGGGCGCAAAATACATGTCAATGGCGAGATTGAGCACTATTGCTCCCATGTTCCTTAGCGAGTTCCTCGGTATGATGACAGCATAATACACCCTAAAGCCGTATTCAAATTAGCCAGACCCCTTTTAAGAAAACATATCCCCAAACCCTAGTCAAATTATTCAAACCCCTCTTAAGGTTTAAGGTTTAAGGCTTCATGGCATACGCCTCAACACGGCTACCTGAAATACAGGTGCAGCTTTGGGCTTGGGGGGCTTAGGGGGCTTAGGGTTGTGGGTTATGGAATTTGGGGCTTTAGGGTTGAGGATGGCTTAGGGTTTTTAGGGCTTAGGATGGCAAGGATTGGGGTGTAAAGTTTAAAAGCCTTCGCCAGGCAACTGGAGCCAAGGTAAAGTTCGGTCAAGTTCAGAAACATCGGAAGCGCCGCAGAAAGCGCCACGACCTGGATGCCCAGTGAGGAAGAAACCTTAAGTCTCAGTCTGGAAGGGTTTGTATTAGGGTTTAGGGTTTAAGGTTTAGGGTTTAGGGTTTAAGGTTTAGGGTTTAGGGTTTAAGGTTTAGGGTTTAGGGTTTAGGGTTTAGGGATATATTCATGTGTACGAAGTTAAGGTATATTCATGCCTACTTAGCAATGGGTAGAACTTGCACCCCAATCGGAAACAGAGTGTAGGGTGTGAGCTTTAGGGCTTGGGAAGCTCTACACCGCAACGACACCCCTAAATACAAAAACGAGCAACCCGAGCTCGGCAAAGCCTCCAAGCCCTCACCACCGAATTCAGAAGAGCCTTTACTTCTAGGGTTTGGGGGCTTTGGGGCTTCCTTTCGGTTTATAAGCCCTAATCCCTAAAACCTGAACTCCCTCATCCCTGTCTTGCTTAATGCTTGTGACGAGGGCCCGGGGCTTTGCGATGGCTTCGTCCCTTTATATCATCGGGGAGCCGTCAGGAATTGGGTTTAGGGTTTAGGGCTCGGGGGTTTAGGGTTTAGTGTTCGCACATATTCAGACCCCTACGGCCACCCCCAAATCCGACATGTGAAGCCCTCAACGACTCTAAATCCGACAACAGCGACAAACCCAGAAAACCAAAACGCCTAAACCCCAAACACAGTCAGACAACCCCCCCTACACACTATATGCCCTAAGTCCCATAGTACAAACCCTCGACCACCTAAACCCTAAACCCCTAAACCCCAAACCCCTAAACCCCAAACCCCTAAACCCCTAAATCCCGAAACCCCTAAACCCCAAAACCCTAAACCCCTAAACCCTAAACCCCTAAACCCTAAACGCTAAACCCAGAAGGAAACAACAAAAAAGGCGACGCCTGAACCTAAAACCCCAACACCCTAAACCCACTCTAAACCTTCAACCGCCTCAAACCCGAAGGAAACCCTAAACCCTAAACCCTAAACCCTAAACCCCAAAAAAAAAGGCGACGCCTCGGCCTCGAGGAGGTCGCTATTGCGAAACTTCTTGCAGGACGGAGCTCGGATCTCAAAGACCTGCGGTTCAGGGTTTAGGGTTTAGGGTTTAGGGGTTTAGGGTTTAGGGTTTAGGGTTTAGTGCACAGGCCCTGGCCTTAAGGCGTAGGCTTTATGGTTTAGGGTTTAGGGTTTAGCGTTTAGGGTTTAGGCTTTAGGGTTTAGCGCACAGACCCTGACCTTAAGGCGTAGGCTTTAGGGTAGGGTTTAGGGTTTATGGGTTTAGGGTTCAGGGTTTAGGCTTTAGGGCACAGACCCCGACCTTAAGGTTGAGGCATTTTGGTTGGGTTTAGGCTTTAGGGTAAGGAGTAGGGTTTAGGGTTTACGGGTTACGGGTTTAGGGTTTATAGGGTTTAATTAGGGTTTCAGGGCTTAGGGGTTACAATAAGCCATAACCCTAAGGGTCCAAGTACCTAAATAATCATATACGCTCCCAAATGTAAACCTAGATAACTACTAGCTATCGCAACCAAAATACCTGATTCTTGGGTCTTTGGGCCCTTCGGCTACGGGCTTTATGTGGTTGTACAGGTTAGTATCCGTAGATTTTATGATTACCTGTAGCAAACAGAATGCGGACTCTCCCGCCTCTACTACCGTTGCAAGGGGGCAGCCCCCACCCCCTATGTATAATATGCGAGTCAATGCGCGCTAGCCAGTGTGACCGAGACTGCTTTGCATGAGCTGGACTCTATTCCCACAGGGCCACTTGACTAGCTCCGTCCACAAGGCTATGCACCTTTAGCTATGCGGTAAAGACCAGGTGACCTTTAACAGCAGTGTTCCTTTACCCTCATATCATGGACTCAGAGAACCCAATACCCCTTAATTAAGGAATCTGCCTTAAATTATAGGGCCCTTAATCTTATGATTTAAGGTATATTCCTTAATGAAGGGGTGTTGGGTCGTCTGGGGACTCCTATATGGAGTATGAACCCCCAACCCTGTTGGCCTTCACTTCGTCCCTGAGAAATTAAGACTGCCCGAAGCCCGATACATATATCGAAGCCTCAACACTTGAAACAAGTTCTGCGCTGAGAGTTTAGGGTTCAGGGGTATAGGGTTTAGGGTTTATTTCCGCGTAGTTGTACAGGGAATACTGTGATTTAGTCCAGAACCCTGCCTGTAGGATCACTGGACACAGTACGGTTTGCTAGTCTATGACATCCCAGCAAAGCCTAGACCCTACGCCCTAAAAACCGCTAAACTCCTAAACTCCCAGACCCTTAAACCCCTAAACCCCTAAACGCCTAAACCCTAAACCCTGAACCCTACACCCTTAAACCTCTAAACCCCTAAACCCTAAACCCTAAATACCTAAACCCCCAAAATCCCTAAACCCTAAACCCTAAACCCCCCAACTCCTACACCCTAAACCCTAAACCCTAAACCCTAAACCCCTAAACCCCTAAGACCCTTAAACCCCTAAACCCCTAAACCCCTAAACCCTAAACCCCCAATCCCAAATCCCCAAACCCTAAACCCTAAGACCCTTAAGCTTTCCACCCTCAACTCAGGCCCCAGGGCTTGGCCCACGGAGTC